GCTTGTGCATCCCCTTTATTCTTAAAAATGGGAACCAAAATATTCTTCCTTCACTCCTCAGGCATCTTTTTAGTTTTAAAATAATATTAAAGAGTTTAGGAAGTCAAGAAACTCCCAAAATCTCCTAAATATTTCCACACTTCAAATAGGATATCATCCGGTCCTACAAACTTTTCACCCTTGGTTTTCTTTAAAGCCTTGTCAACTTTTTTACTAATGCAATGGTAAAAATGAAACATTTTATTATTATTAACGATAATAAGATCACTAAGATCAATCGTACTTTCCGAAACTTCATTAAAAAGTTTATCAAAATAACTCACCCACCTATTTTGAATATTTTTTTCTAAGAGAAACACTTTTTTTCATATTTAATAAATTTTACTTGAGTTAAATATTTATTTTTTTCTCTTTGTTTGGCTAGTTTATACATGTATTTTTCACCCTCCTTAATATCTAATCTATTATAAAATATCTAATCTATTATATTAATATCTAATCTATTATAAAGATCATTAAAAGCAGAATTTTTAGCATCGCAGACGGGTTGTTTGATATTTTTCTCAGTTTTCTAAGCTTTTACTTTTAAACCAATTTTTATAACAAAGCTTCTTATATTTTATCTTTTCTTACACATTATTATTCCACCATAAACTATTTTTATTTATATAAGCTTTTTTATTTTGATTCTCCAAATACAACTTTTGTCACTTGTTTAATAGTATTTATTACTTTATTCCACATAGAATTTGCCTCTTCATGAGCATCCCAAATTTTGAAATTTTGAATTTTACTTATAAAAATAATTTTTTTTGTGACTTTTCGATACCTCCATCTAATTTTACGATGATGATTCCTGGTATTTTTTTTATTTTACAACTTTTTATCTTATAATCTATAACTAATAATCGATGTTGAGTACTTAAATACTCACTTGAATTTACAATCTTTGCATTCTCAACGATTTCTTCTTCTCATAAGAAAATAATCAATTTGTGTTTTATTAGATCTATTCTTATAAGTAATAATATGTTCATCTCTTTTCTTGAATCATCTATATGTTCATCTCTTTTCTTGAATAAAGTATTAGTAATAACAAAATCATACCTCAAAGCAAAATCTAATATAGCTTTACCTTCTTAATTAATCCCTCCAAAACCGTATCCACCGTGAATATTTGTAAAATCTTCTACCACTCTACCGGCATGTCCATTTAAATCTCTTCCAATAAAAATTTTCCAATAAAAATTCTTAATTCTTTCTTCAAGAGATATCATTTGTATTAAGTCTTCTAAGTAATTCTAGAATTTATCTTTAGAACTTATATCTAAACCTAGTTGAGGAGCATAAGCACCTAAAATAGTTTGGGGGGAGCTTAATAAAAATCTTAGTATCATCAATAACCTTAAAGGCTATAATTCTTTCCCCAACTCTATTAATTTTTACAACATTATCTTTCAAACTCTTATCTGTAATTGCACCTACGCTATTTATAGTGTGACACTTACTTGAATACCAAAGTTTAAAACCTAAATTATCAATCTCCTTAGTCTTTTCTCCAACCCATTTAGTTTCTTGAACACATAAGATATTTATCTTTCTATGAATTATGATATCAACTAATTCTATTAATTTACTAGTGAGAGTACATATATTCCATTAATTTACATGTACATTTATCAAAATAACTCACCCACCTATTTTGAATATATTTTTTTAAGAAAATCAATTTTTTAATTTCATATTTAATAGATTTTACTTCAGTTAGCTTTTACTTTTGTTAAATTTTTACTTTTCTTTTCTCTTTGTTTTACTAATTTATACATGTATTTTTCACCCTCTTTAGCATTTAATCTATTATAAAGATCACTAAAAGCAAAATTTTTAGCATCACAGATTCTTCTCTTAGACTCTCTACGGGTCGTTTGATATTTTTTTTTTGATCTTTCTGCTTTTTTAGTAGTTTTTACTGTTAAACAAACTTTTATAACATAATTTCTTATATTTTATCTTTTCTTGCACATTATTATTCCACCACCAATTATTTTTATTTATATAAATTTTTCTTTTGATTCTCCAAATACAACTTTTATCACTTGTTTAATAGTGTTTGTTACTATATTCCACATAAAATTTGCCTCTTCATGAGCATCCCAAATTTAAAAATCTTGAATTTTACTCATAAAAATAATTTTATTTGTATTTTCAATACATTTATCTAATTTTACAATGATGACTCCTGATATTTTTTTTTATTTTACAACTCTTTATCTTATAATTTAGAACTAATAATCGATGTTGAGTAATTAAATACTCACTTGAAATGACCTTAACAATTTTTACATTCTCGACGATCTCTTCTTCTCATAAGAAAATAATCAATTTGTGTTTTATTAGATCCATTCTTATAAGTAATAATATGTTCATCTCTTTTCTTGAATAAAGTATTAGCAATAACAAAATCATACGGTAAAGCAAAATTTAATATAACTTTACATTCTTAATTAATCACTCCAAAACCGTAATCACCGTGGATATTTCTAAAATTTTCTACCACTCTACCGACATGTCCATTTAAATCTCTTCCAATAAAAATTCTTTCTTCAAAAGGTATCATTTGTATTAAGTCTTCTAAGTAATTCTAGAAATTATCTTTAGAACTTATATCTAAACCTAGTTGAGGAGCATAAGCACCTAAAATATTAAAAATCTTAGTATCAACAATAATCTTAAGGGCTATAATTCTATCTCCAACTCTATTAATTTTTACAACATTATCTTTCAAACTCTTATTCATAGTTACACCTACGTCATTTCTAGTGCGACTCTTACTTGAATATAAAAGTTTAAAACCTAAGTTATCAATCTCCTTAGTTTTTTTCTCCAACCCATTTAGTTTCTTGAACACATAAGATATTTATCTTTCTATGAATCATGATATCAACTAATTTCATTAGTTTACCAGTGAGAGTACATGTATTCCAAGATCATTTCCTAATATTAGTTTCATGGACTAACTTTTTTACCCACATCCGTCCGTACTGTGGGAACCCTCACTTATTTGACACTAAACCCGGGTGTCAGTATCGTGATCCTTGCACACTTTTCACTGTATTCAGACCATACAGCGCGTTGCTTCCCGGGGATGCAATAGCACTTACACACTGACCAATAATTCATGTCATGATTTTTTCGATAAGTTTTACGTTGGTTGCCGACTACCTAACGCAACCCTACACTTTTCACATTCGGGCTTGGGATCAACAACAACATGTGAGAAATAGATAGACAAAATTTAATGGAAAAACAACTAAATACAAAAGCAATTAATAAAAAAGCATATAATTCTCATGAACAACATAAGCTAAAAAAATCATTTCAGGACTTCATGCAATCATTTTTAATTGAATTAAAATAACATCATAGCTCTCTAAATTTAAAAATTAGAAGATTAAAATATTGAATATATGACATTATAATAACCCTTATAAAATAAAAAAACAAGGTGATAAATCATTTCTAAAAATCCAACAAGAATTAGCTATAATAACAAGAGCATGAAGTGAACGAGGTGTAGATAGAGATTTTGTAGGGGTCTAAGTTGAATTATCAGAAACCACATTTTCCCTTACAAACAAAAGCCCCATAAAATAACCAGCTCGTTAGTGCTCACCTTAGAGTTGCTATATCAATGAGATGAAATAAAGGGGATGTAAAAAGTGGCATGCAGAGTTGGATTTCACCCACAAGAGCATATTTAGTAGCTACAATGGCATCAATATTGTGGAAAGTAGGTAGCACTTGGCACGATACATGATGTTTGGGTGATCCAAGAGGCTTTATAATGTCAAAAATCAAGCTTATTAAATTTTAGTATGTTTCAAAATTATATGTTAACTTTTGATAATTTAGAAGTTTCTAGAAGCTTCTAAAATATTGGTAAACCTTTTGAGTGCATCCAGGAATTTCCAAGAGAAACCGATGAAATAGATGTCATAATAATTATTCAAAAATACACATCTACTCCCTTCATCGTCCACACCACAAAAGGATGAAAATTTGCATGTTTTTGAAAGCTTAAATGAGAGGTTGTTAGGATATTTATGATAATTTTTTATTTTGGTGAAAATAGATTTGGATAAAATCTGGATTTGAATTTTGACTCATAAATTCTTCTAAAAGGTGAATTTTAAAATGTTAAATTCCACTTTGAAACAAACAAAACTATTCCTCCTCATTTCTATTTTTCATTAAAATCTTTTAAGCATCCTCCTAAATCCCATCACCAAAAATTACTATGGCCACCTCTAAGTATTTTAAGTATCACTTGTGTTTCTTATCAAAATCAAGTGATTTAAAACTCAATTTTCTGACTCCGTTCTTCGTAACATTGGCTAACTGAACATTTATCATACCACAGAGCTTCACAAGTCATGGCTTCATCTTTTATTCGAGTACTCATGAGGAAAGAATTTTGCATGTGTGGGAAAGCTAATTATAGTTTACATTATCTCAATTGCATGCTAACTTCTCAAAATCCCCTTTTATTTCACATGATAGGATAATGTGTATACATAACTCCGCCACAAAGACAAAACAAAATTCTTTATTGATTCCATAAGCATTCAAAATTCTTAATTCATGATCATTGAGCTTCGCTAATGCACCCTTTAATTGGGTTGAGATAGTGGTAAAATAATGAGGATGAATTTGCAACAAAATCAATAATAAAAAAACACATTGATGTTTCTATGAGTGTTTGACGATCAATATTCTATCGAGTAGCAACATAATCTCACATTCCAAGTAATTGTTGATGCTACGGACATGAAAGACCTGTGTTAGCTATAATCAGAATAGATGACAAATAACTGGGAGGAGCAAGTTATCCTGGGACCTAAATGGAAATTTGGAGCCATGACTAGGAAGATTATTGCTCAGGTGACCAATATAGAATGGTTAACAGCAAATGGTTAAGAAGGGAGTACAAGGAAAAGAACCTGAACGAGGTAATAGAAGATGCGCAGACCCTCAGGATCCTTGCTACTCTGGACGTCAACGAGGGATCCAATCTTTGATGTGGTGAAAGAGATGTGCTCGTTACCCATCACAATTTCTAATTCCTGTCTCCCTACCCTATCCGGTTCCGGCCAGTTATTATCATCTTCCTTCATTATCTGTAGGTAATACAAACAATTGCATCAAAACCATAACTCCTGTAAAAAAAATTAAGAAAAAAAAGGTCATCTGAGCAATGCAAATAAACGCCTTTCAAAAACCTAACACAGAAGATCCGACAACAGGAACCTTTCTCGCGTCAGCAACCCTAACTCAAAACAAGCGATCCACCGTTGTTTTGAGACAAACAAAAGGCGTAGAAAAGTAAGGATTTGTAATGAAAATAGACCTCGCTCTCGGAGATGATGCGGCGGCATTCACGGAGGACGGCGGGGGTAAGGAAGACCTCTTTGCGGATCATAGTGTCATTCTTGTAGTTGGAATTGTTAGCGTAACGAAGCTTTCCGTCGGGGCGAAACTCGAACTCCAGGAACTCGTGCCCGAACTTTCCCTTGTGACCCACGTAGTACCGGAGGTAGAACTCGTCCTGATCGTTCCCCGCCATAGGTCAACTCGAACTCCGTCGAGGTCTCCTCGGGCTTTTCCCTCGCGGCTGCAATGGTGGAGAACTTCTGATTCCTGGAAGTACTAAACTGCTCCCCTTTCCGCCCTAAATAGTAGGAGGATTTCCAAAAATACCACTTAAATTCCCAAGTATTTAAATATGTAAACCCTATATTTCAATTTCTATGCATAAAAATAAATATTTTTTTTTTAACAATCAAAATAATAATATTTTTAAATAATATGAATAAAACTGTGTATTGAAACTGTATGGAATCAAACGAATTTGATTGATTAGATTCCATTCGATTTTAAAATATATTTTAATTTTTGGCTATTTAGTTGATTTTAATTTTTATTTAACCAAGTAAATTGGAAAACCAAATTTTATTTAAACTATCATATTCTATTTTGATTTCGTATCCAACAAACTTTACATTATATACAATATTTAGTTGAAATAAATAGATAATTTATGAAATTAATTTGACATTATATGTATAAATGCTTATTCATAACTAAAGTACGACTAATAATTAAATTTTGATTTCTTAATTGTGAACGGTCTAAACCAATAAAATTTTGGTTTGATCAATTCTATTTTATAAAAAATTTGATTTGTTCGATTTTTTCATATTTTTTATTTTATATGGCATTTGTTTAACTAATTTGAAAATCAATCTTTTATACGGACGAAATGTTACTTTATATAAAAATAAAAAAATTAAATTTAGATGTTAGATAAGTAAATACATAAGAATTGGGTGATATGTCATAACTATAATAGGATAATTTACATACATACCATGTAATTCATATATATTTGCAGATTAACACCAAAAATTAATTTTTTTACATTTATGCAACCTTATCAAAAGCAGAAAAACTTGAGAAGTTGTATTCCACTTTTTTAAAATATAAAATAAGGGCATTATTATGTGATGAATTTTTTTTGGTTAAATAAATATAAAAATTAAGTTTAGGTGTTAAATATGTTTAGTACATATGCACATCAAGACTCTGTTAGCATGAATCTCGAGGAGATTGAATGGTACAGAAGAAAAGAAATATAACAAAGAAGAGTTCGCCGACAAGAGACCAAGAGGCCCCGCTTATCTAATTAGATGCATTTATCCATGCCAAGGACGAAAGCAAATCGAGCTAGGAGAAGAGCAAAAGGAATGATCTGAGTCTGAACCAACCGAACTAGAGCAAGACAAATAAGCACACAAACTAACCACCGCCGGAGAGCCGAGCAAAGGCATCAAACTACCTCTCGCCAGATCTAACCCCAGAAAAGTATCCATTTCCTTGCTATCATTGGCCGTCCCACAGATGCCCTCGAGGTTCTTCGTCGGGGAGCAAGAATTGGAAATGCAACGAGCCTTACAAATTACAATTGTGTTGAAGTACCTCCCTCTTTGAGGAATGAGTTATATATTGATTTATGGTGATCAACCCTCTACTCGATGTCGTAGTTTCATTTTGCTGACTGAAGTTTTTCGACCAAGGATTGAGGGTCGATAGATAGATAAATCAACCGATATATAGCAAACTGAGCTAGTCCTATCAACCCAAAAATAATTGAGTCCAGCCAACCGGCTACGTTAAATTAGTCAAGCTGACCAAACCGGCCTTACTGAGCCAAAGACATGCTATCCCAACCAACCGAGTCATAAGGTAGCTGAGCAAGAAGTGTGTGTTTGAAAATACCTAAAATGTTCTATAGAAACCCATTCAAGAAAGGGTAGAAACTTAATATCACATATTATAATATCTCCATTATAAATAGAGATATCATTTTATAAGAAGAGACTAATAGACAAGATGTTTTACTTTTTATTTATTTTTATATATCTTTATCTTTCTCATTTCCTACACTCTAACCTTTGAGGTGTAATTGACGGGCAAAACATGATTCAATATACTAAAACATGCAGTGAGCGTAAATCATTTCATAGACAAAAAGAGAAGCATCACACAAAGAATAAATCTACAAAACACAGAGAGAAGAAACAAAGAATAGAGACATTGGTAACATGGAGTAAACTAAAGAGTTTGTTAACCAGTAAATTTAGAAGCTGAAGGATTAGATGTTAGAATCCATCCAAGAGGCACTGGCTTGGAGAAGGGAGCAGCATCCCTGAGAGGAAGGGTTGGCACCCAACAGCTGAAGGACACCCTCAGCTCTGAATAAAGAAAGAGGCTCCTAGTACTTCAATAATAATCAGTCGCCACCAATCGATATGCATATTTTCAGGCACACAAGCGCCCCATCAGCGAAAGAAGATGTTCTCTCAGCAAATCCTAAAGTTCGAGCTCTAAGAGAGGTTTAAAATTCGTTCATCATAATCTTATTAGGGTTAGACTAATCATAATAATCACATAGCCTCTTTTGAATTAATAATATGCTTACTGAGGATCACTAGTGCATTGAAGTGCTTTAACATGCTAAGAGAGTTGATTCTCAGTTGGATTAACAGTTTACCACTGGAAGTGATTGCCTCATCTGCCAACTTCAAACAGATATTTGTAGTGTAGTTTGTTAGCACCCAGAAACTAAAGAAGAACTTGTAGGCCCTCCTACAAATCAAAAAAGGCAGAATGAGAGCCTCCACTCGTTTATCACCCGCTTCTAAAAGAACATGCTGGAAGTGCAAGACCTACAGTTATTTGTGGCTCATGGCGCTCTAGCTCAAGGATTAAAAGAGGGAGACCTTTCTAGCATGTTTTGGGCCTCTAGTGACCAAAAACATTAGTAAAGTTGTTGGAGCTGGCCAACAACCATAACTTGGTCGAGAAATACAACCCCACCCCTGCTTCTTCCAAAGGGGAGCCTTTCATCTATCTCCCATAAAAGAGAACACCCCTCAAGATGATAGTTGGAGGACGAGATGACTCATAACCTTCAGTTTCCTTAAGGTCATAAGGAGAATAATAGAGCCTACAACTAGACGATTAGTCTCGATATCCTAACCAACGGTTGGCTCTCTAGAATAAGTATTCATTGCCCAATCAAAAAGTACCAAAGATGACTCCATTGAGAGTCTCATTGGCAAAGATAATTGAAGCCTCTCAAAGTAAGGAGTACATATGGAAAACATGACTAATGTGGACCGGAGCTTACATTTGGGATCCAAAGAAGTACTGTGTACTACCGAACCATGGCCAAGATGGAGGAATGCAGACACATTAGGAGGCTAATTGAATAGTTGATTAGAGTTGAAAAGCTCAAGAAGTTCGTAGCTCTGAAAGCAATGACCTAACACAAGGTAAAGCTCTAGCAGAAAAAATTTTGAACAAACATGTCTGAGCCCACTCCATTCACATAGTTGACATAATTCCTACCATCTCAGTGCAGGAGGAGATCCATTATGTTAATTTAGTCTGAAGAGGCTTTGGTCAGACAAACTATGTATAGTCACCATCACGCCAAAATGTAGTATGCATTCCACATCGCCTTTATCAATGCAAATTTTACCCTCTAAGTGTAAACCTTATAATGAAACCATCATTGTCACGATGTTGATTAGCAACTACCATATAGGTAGCATCAACAGTTTAATGAATATTTGTTTAAAGCGATGTTTGAAAATATAGGTCTAAAAAATAACTGACTGAATATCAAAACCGGCCCACTGTAAAGCTTCTCTAGTGATAAGAAAAAAGAATTAGAAACTATCATTCTATCGGTGACCTAGGGGAAAAATGAAAAGCAATTCTTGAAAATAAAGGATATCATGATGGTTGACTTGCCATCAACTTACAACAACATCTTTGCCCAACACGTGCTCAGCAACTTCAAAGTCATTACATTGATGCACTACACAACGTTAAAGTTTCCAAGTGAACCTGAAGAAATCTTGTACTTGTCATCTCTAGAAGATTGGAAGTGTGAAGCAAAAACTACTTAAGATTGGAATATGTGTGAGGGTTTTCTCGAGACCAGCGAGGCCACTCATCAAGTTTTAGTGACCGAGGGAAACCCCAATAATTTTTTTTTAATTAATGAAGCTTTTAATGTGAGGTAGAGGGATGCACTGAACGGGACCCATCAGCACCATTCAATGTCTTTATATGGTTCATGGCCAAGATGTCAAGGATTCTAATCAATGTTGCCTTCCACCGTCTGAATGTTAACCCTTCGACTTATCCATTGAAGTAAAAGATGAGGTCCCTGACTCTAACCCTATTCAAGCACATTAGGGAGGAAGTGTATAAGTTGTTGGAGGTTGGTTACATTTAAGAAGTGCAATACGTAACATGGGTGTCAAATGTCGTGATGGTGTAGAAGGCAAATGACAAGTGGAGGATACACTTAGACTTCATGAATTTGAACGCTGCATGCTTGAAAGATAGCTACCCTCTTCCTTGGATTGACTATCTCAAGGATTCAGTGATCAACCACTCAGTAATACACATTCTCGATGTATTTTTTGGGAAACCATCAAATAACGGTGCACCCAAAACAATGCAGAAAAATATTGTTCAATACTAGCGAGGCTGTATTTTGTTATTATATAGCACCTTTCAGGATTGAAAATATTGGGGCTACATACCAGTGATTGATGAATGTAACTTTTTCTATGTACAAAGAAAAAATGTATTGAAGAGTATATGGATGATGTGCTAATTAAAAGCAAAATGCCCAAAAAACACATAAAAGACTTGAAAGAAAGTTTCAAAACACTTATAAAATATAATATAAGGCTCAATTCGCTTAAGTGTACCTTCAGGGCTTTAACAAACAAGTTCTTTGACTACCTCTTAACCCAAAGAGAATAAAAGATAAACCAAAAATGGTGCAAACGTTGCTGAACTATTGACCTCACTCTTGTTGAGGTCTAATCTTTCTTCCTTAAAAGCCCAAGATCTAGCCATAGGATTTTCTTATTAACTCTTCTACAGGACCAGTCTTGGGACCCATCCTAATTAGAAATTCGAATCACTTCTTGACTCCTTGTTGTCTCATATGTGTAGTTTCAAATCCTCAACAGCTAGTTGGGTTGATTAGAACCAACATTTATGGAGGTGCCTTAGAAAGACCCTTCAGATTTATGAGTTTTCATCATTTGCCACAACACAATTCACAT